AAGATTTTTTCATTCTGACTTTAATTGTTTGTTATTATTCTATTGTTGAGGGCCAAATGTTGAAAGGATTATTTATGTATTAAAGTTCAATAACATGGTGGTTGTGAATGCATTTGTCAAGAATTTACACATTTTTTTTTACACATTATTTCACTTAAAAAGTAACAATGTCCCAGCAGAGATAGCAAATTTCACATACTTTGAGAAGAGTCCTGGTCCAGATGATCAACTTCTAATGAGATGCATAGGAATACCAACAGGTAGCTTTCTTCAGATAATTTCTCCAGATAAACCTGGGGAAAAAATTGCATGGTGATTAGAACCAATATTCTCTTAAAACAATGTAGAAGGTGACATTTCTGAAGAGTGAACATCAGCTAAACTGAACATTTTGCATTGATCCTAATAAGAAAGTCTGATGCTTCTCTCATATTATGGGAACACAGTTTTAATCCATACAAAGAGATAAGCAAGACTTCTTCAGAAGGTCACCAGAGGATGATATAGACTGATCCAGACAACAGACGAGAGACTGTGACCTTTATCACTAATCTTTATGCTTTATTCATGAATAGAACCATTAAGCCAAACAAACACAGGATCAGGAAAAGATAAGAGAGGTATCCGCCGGATTTGAAGGTGTGGAGCTGTGATGGTTTGTTCTGATAAAGTGTCCCCTGTGCACATTTGACTATGAATGATGCACAGGTTTAAATGTTCTTCCTGACACCTAGATTTTTACTATTGTACATTTATGTACAAATAATTGACTGCTAAACTCAAGTCTCTGACCTCCGGCACCTTTACTAGGAAGTGCTCAGACGGCTTCCTTTAAAGCATTCAGTACTTCCACATATTCAGTTTCAAACATTCAAGTCAAAATTGATGTATTAATGTTTATTGAAACAAGGCATATGGTAAGGAAGCTACATTTTTAGGTAGCCATTAGCAAATAACCTTTAGTTTATATCACAGCCGTGAACCATGACAACTTTCTATTTCCAATCAGAGGCAATTGGTATTAGGCGGAGGGACGTTCTCATTCTAAAGAGCATTGGACAAAAGTTTATATACACAATTGTTACTTTATCACAACTGTGACTTTGTTTCTTTTAATTGCAACTTTATCTCACAAAGTGACTTTTTACATTTAAAAAAAGACTTTTCTCACAAATGCAACTTTGTTATAGTAATATCAATTCAATTCAAAAATATCGACTTCATATCTCACAATTATGACAATCACAATTGCGATCGTATCTCTCGTAATTGCGACTTTGTTTCTCGTAATTGCGACTTCACATCATATCTCACTGACTTTGTTTCTTGTAATTGAATTTGTGACTTTACAGCATATCTCACAAAGTGACCTTATTCCTTGTAACTGCGACTTTAGGGCATATCTCAAAATGCCTTTACATCTCACAGTTGTAACTTTATATTTCCCAAATACAACATTGTTTCTCATAATTGCGACATTAAATCTCACAATTGTGACAATATATCACAGATCGGAGTTTGTTTCTTATAATTGCAACTGCAGTATCTCACAAAGTGACTTAACATCTCACAATTGTGGCTTCATATATCACAAATGTAACTTTATAACTCATAAAAGCAACTATCTCACAAAGTGACTTTATACCTCACAATTCTGACTATATATCACAAATGCTACATGAGATGTAGCTACAATCTCGAGCAACAATCTTTAAATGTTACAACATACAGTAACTAATGAACAACATCAGAAAAACACAAGTTCCGTGTCAGCCTTTCTATACAGATATTTGCTGAAACCAAAAGAGGAGCAGACATGCAGACCAGATAATGGAGCACACAGGATATAGAATGCCACACCATCCAAAACCAGTCTCCATGGCAACCTGAGCCGAGGAGCCCGCCACGGCATTTACAGCAACCCTCAAGTATAGCCTATATTTCCTCTAGAGGTCAGGAGGCGGGTGACCACCCCTATAATTCATTGAAGTACGAAACATAGTTTGTTGAAGAGCTGCTTCAACGCTTTGCCTTCAGCCACTTTTAAATCTAGCACAAACATGCTGTAAGCCCATGAAGGCAATTTATTTGTGGAGGAGATGCTTTTACGGGTGCTGATGCATTTTTTTGGCACCACACGTGAATTTTCTGAGCCACTGGACCGCACACACATCGTTTTATGGGTATGAATTCAACTGTCCCAACTGAAGGCTGCGATTACAATACCCTGCACATTTCTGAGAAACACCAGAACAAAAAAAGCGCACTAAGCTGAATTTCAAACGTTTCCCTGAAATTAGGGAACTCAGAGGACGGAGGGCCCGTGTGTGCATGTTAGATAGTTCTGTTTGTGCACGTGTAGTAAAAATAAGTCAGTTATACAGAAAAAAACAACAACATGGGGATTTATGTAGTGTGTGCTTTATGGATGTTCCTCATTATAAGAAGATGAACATTGATCACAAAAGATCAGTTATCAATTTAATAGCACAAAAGGTCTTCTGGCAGTTCATAAACATTACATTATTGGATCACCTCAGGGACAATGGGGCTGGTGATGGTCATTTATATTTAACTAAGTAAGTCAATTATACATCAATGTAAACTCTTTCACGCTCAGATTCTAGGAAAGCATCCAAAGTCTGATAACATGGCGGTAACAGACAAAGCAGAAAACAGACCACGAGGAGCGGATGAGCGCGTAAAACAGCAGAGAAACCGGCGTGCGCAAATGTTTACAAATGATGGCACACACTGTTACACACACACAGAGACACTTTCTGATTAATAAGTGAGAGATTAGGAAATGACCTATGTCATATTACAAACACCTGATCTGTAAATATTGATCACGCTTTGAGTAAACAGCACTAAATAAAAACAGCAAGCAACAGATGAAAAGAAAAACAATAGAGCAGACCAGATGTTGTTGCAGATTGTTGAAAACAGAATTTCAAATATTATTAAATCAAATTATATATTTAATCTATAGCATTTTTCAAATTTACAATTCTTGTGTAATCATTATGCATGCCGTTTTTGCAAGCTCATAGGCTATTACTTTACATTATTTTGGAAATGAATTTGTCACACTACAAAAATATATGTGCTAATGAATAAAAATGTGTTTTAAAAAGATAGGCTATGCCTATCTACGATAGGCTATGCTATGTAATGGATAATCCACAGCTAGCTGTGCATTAGCCTAAATAAGGGATAATCCATGGTTTTAATGCATGACATTGAGGCAAAGATCCACCCGACACGAAGCAGAGTGCATTCAAATTGTTTAATGCACAGTTTGCCGTTGATTATCCCACTTACCATACACCATGGTCATTTGCCATCATTGGCAACTTTTGTTGATGTTTGCTATAGACTTTGAATCAGTATTTTTAATAAATAAAAAATAGCATTTATTTGAATTCATTATCGAGAGAGAGAGAGAGAGAGAGAGAGAGAGAGAGAGAGAGAGAGAGAGAGAGAGAGAGAGAGAGAGAGAGAGAGAGAGAGAGAGAGAGAGAGAGAGAGAGAGAGAGAGAGAGATCTGAATTCGCCTTATTCACTTGGCGGCCATTTTGAAAATGGAACGCCGCTGAGGGGTACACTCACCCGGAAGGATGCATGCGACGCAGCAGCACCAGCAATGAAAACTCGCAATGCGGACCACCAATCATTCCTGTCTGCCCGAATTAACGATGCAAAATGTGAAGCAAAGTGCCAGTGACTGAAACATCCCCCGGGCTGTGTTAATTAAGGGATACAGTACCTGTATCGGAGGTTTTATCCACGCCATTGAACGTAGGAATGGACGCCTTGCCAGTTTCTGCGAGCTTTCAGCAGCCAGAGGTAATTAACGTTAGTAAGCTAAGCTGTAATATGGAGTTGTTGACTGTGTAAGTTACTATGTTAGATACAATTGTACTTTATTGTTTAGATACACATCCAGTAGCTTACATACACACGCATGTAAAACAATCAAATCACTCATGTATGTAAAAGGAAAGAGGAGAAGTGATTTTAAGGTCTGACAGGGACTGATCCTTACACACTGACAATAATAAGCTGCTATGGTGACAATACAAGTTTACATATATGTATTCATAAAGAATAAAAATAATGATGGTAATGGATTTGTATAGATTCTAATAGTACACAGTCAACTTCCTACAAGCTTGCAGAAACTGAGGTAAATTGGCGTCCATTCTTACGTTCAATGTCGTGGATAAAACCTCCGATACAGGTATTGTATCCCTTAATTAACACAGCCCGGGGGATGTTTCAGTCACTGGCACTTTGCTTCACATTTTGCATCGTTAATTCGGGCAGACAGGAATGATTGGTGGTCCGCACTGCGAGTTTTCATTGCTGGTGCTGCTGCGTCGCATGCATCCTTCCGGGTGAGTGTACCCCTCAGCGGCGTTCCATTTTCAAAATGGCCGCCAAGTGAATAAGGCGAATTACACCGCCTTCACTCTGGCAGTTGAAATCAGCTCCAATATGGCACCGAAACGACCGGAAGTCATTCATTTCCTATGGAGAAGATACATTTCCGGAAGTTGTAGCTACTGTATCTTTCAACATACCTTGTAATGTTTATTCGTGTGTATTTAGAGTTAATTAATTTGTAGTAATAATTAGGAAGAGATGATCAGTTCATGTGCCGATTGAAATGAGGAGGCCATACAGCCATCTGTCACTCACGTCACTTTTAAGAGCGCCAAACCAATATCCTTGATTCTGATTGGTCAATAGCTGTATTTTATTAGTGATAAAACAAAGCTATGACGCTTCATCCAACAGGTATTTTTCATCACTGCGCAACACCGCAGTTCCTATGTTGTTGTTATTTGACTCAAATTAGTCTCTGATATGATATTATTACACATTGGAATGTTGTTGCTGTTCACGTCAAGAACTAATAACGGAAGGTAGGCTTTTAGTGATTTTACTTCAAGAACGTTGCACTAATACATAACGTATTTTTTCACTTTAATATTTTCATTGTGTGGTAACCATTTTATAAAAGCAATAAGGTACTCGAGGCAAGTGCTGTGTGTATCGTGAAGAGGTTGCAGATACGACGCGACATGCACCGCCCTTCAGCTATTCACGATACAGTACAGCCTCTCATAACTTATTGCTTACATAAAATTGACAGAATTTGAAAGCTGACTAGCTGAGATTTTGTTCCAGCGGGCACCTTGACGTCAATTTGACATCAACAAATAGTCAAGATTTTGACCACCATGTATAACATGCATGAATATGAATATTTTCATTATATTTTGTAATTATTACCTTGTGGTTGTAAAGAGGCCAAACAAAGGTATCAATCTGACATGTTTTTTCTTGTCCCTACATCTCAGGTCAATATCATTGACATTAAATCGATGTTGATTTGATGTCAGGAATTAAAACGTCAATTTGATGTGAAATGTATATCAAAATGATGTCTGAAAAAGTATATTTATTACTCACTGTAAATCAATGCGACTAATTTTCAACATCTAAAAGACCGATCTTGAAAGTTGTAGGTCTATGTATTTTGCATTTTTATTTTATTTAAATCCTAGCTAGTTTAATTCAGTTCTTGATTAAAATGACAGCAGACACTATAATTGCATATACTATAAAAGGTAAATTTAATCTGACATTGAAGCTGATTTTTAAAATGATCATCATCGACTACAAATTGACTACAAAAAGACGTCACATCCTGGTCATATCGCGCGGAAAAGTAGAAGATTTGCATAACCGCCCTCACTCACACGTCTGCTCACTGCCAGAGAGATCGTCGATTTCAATTTTAAAAAATACTCCTCTTTCAACTCTTGGTAAGTAACCAGCTAGCATGCTATTGTTGTTATTATGTTAATACACCATCTTATACATAGGCTACTTAATCTGATTGGGTGTAATTGTCAGAAATATGTCGAATAATTCCACAGCCTTGCCCTTTACCTGAGCGAGTTAGCTTGCTAATTTAACCGGAGATTAGCTTAACTGTAACGTTGACATTCTGGTATGATGGAAGAAGTGTCTTCCTGTCTGCCATCGTATGATTTTAAAAGTGTGTGCGTGTGTGTGGAAAAATGTCGATTTTACTGGTTTTCTGGGGCCAAACCGACCGGCGACGATATTTACTGTCGATTCGAATTTGTTGGTTTAAAAGTGGACATTTCAAGCTTTAGCCCGTTACAAGGCTAACGTTAGAGATGACAAATTAACAATGATAGTAAAATGATATCCTAAGCATGTGAAATGTTTTAATTTTTTTTTCCAGCGTAACTTAACGTTACCAGCCCCAGATCTGTCACTGATTTGAATAAGAGGTAAGTTGCAATGGTAGTATCCATATAACGTTACTGTCCTAAAAATATTCCTTTCCCAATGTAAGAGAAAAGTAAGTGTGTTCTTCTAAACAAAAAATAGCTGCTGCATTGAATTTTTTTTTTTAATGCAAATTTTTTGTTTGTATAGAATATGATGTCTTGCTCTCTTTGGTCTGACATTCAGAGTTCCAAAAACGACTCCGCTTCAACAGCTTAACAGACAGCTAACCAGCGAGGAAAAACGAAAACTCATGGTAGGTTACTATGAAAAAGTAAAACAAACATTTGCTAACAGATGCAATTATTAGACATACAATATCTTATTCACATATTCTTGTTCCTCATATACATTTCTGCATATTTGCTAAATTATTCCTTCAGACAGCTCCGATGTCAAATTGGTGCAGCTACCCTGTGGGAAAATGTCAACATTGTGATGAAAAGGTCAGTCTCTGAAGTTGTGCGGTTAATATCTTAAAATGTATTTAATACTCTTAAATGAATACGCCCAGATCTGCGGATTGAAGATGAAGAACACGCTGAATCTGATTATAACAAGACCGAAGCGAACACGAATTTGTGTGGTTTACACTTAATCACAAATATTTAGGGGAACGAGGCAGAAGTTTAGGGGAATTTGATTATACTATTTCAGATAGCCTGTTGGGCAGGACAGTTATGTATTTTGGTAGCCCTACTGAAAACACAATATAGCCCGGGACGTCTGGCTAGCGATTTTGTGAGCCCTGACATTATTTCACATTTCTTCCTGTACAGCATGTATAACTTTGTTTATTCACATTTTTATTTACAGAGTGCTCACAAATAGCCTCATGTCTATACTGAACATGGATGGGACTGGTGACAAGCTGCCTTTCAGAAGAATTGAACTTTATAAGGTCGCAATAGGTAATTATATTTTCTATTTGTGCACCTACACCACCTATAGCTCTATTCTCTACATGATTTTTATTTTGATCAGTATGTGCAAGATAAATGGCAATTGCTGTTACATTTTTTCAGGTGCCATCTAGAAGTAACAACCCGGCATCACAGAAGCTTCCATTGGTAGCCTTACGGCCAACCATTTGCTCGCTCCACCGGACAGAAGAGGGGGCACTGGGCGCCGGAAGGTAGGAGCTGCTGCAAGCAATGTAGATTAGGCCCAATTCAATTTCTCTTTTTTTACCCTTCCCCTTCATTTTACCCCTACACCTGGTCCTTGGAAACATGTTGGAAAGATATAGGGGGAAAAATATTCTCCATGGAAAAAAAAAAGATATCAATCGCATACATAGGGAAGAGCCTGGACGAATGTGATGTTTTGAAATCACTGCTGTCTGGCTTTGAATGAATGTTCACATTCTACAATTCCGTACAAAATGTGGACTGATGACTAGCAGTGAAATGAGATCCTGACATATGACACTGTTAACACAAATTAACCAAAAATTGACTCGATCCATTATCATATATTAGTACTAGGGCTGTCAAATGATTAATCACGATTAATCACATCCAAAATAAAAGTTTGTTTACATAATACATGTGGGTGCACTGTGTATAATTATTTTGTGTATATATATATATACACACACATGCATGTATATTTAATAAAAAAATGTTATTTATAAATAATTAAAATTATATATAAATCTATATACAGCATAAACATGAAAATATTTCTTAAATATATTGATAGATTTTGTATTTTCAGTTATCAGATTCATTTACATTGTGACGTGTATCATAATTAATCCACTCTGTCGGTGTCTGCAAAGGTGTGTGTCAAACGGCCCATACAGATGAATGGCCCATTCAGATGTATGGCCCACAGAAACTGATTGGTGTGAATGACAAAGACTCAGCATTGCTCAAAATGGATTAGCATCTCCTGTGGGAGGTCCTAACAGGTTTCTATTGTTTGTAGCCCATAATCTTCTTTATAAAGTTCTGTCTCACAGACAGAACATTGGGTTAAGATTGTTGAAGGGTGACAAGCATGTGTGTGTGTGTGTGTATATATATATATATATATAAATATACACAGTGCAATCACATATTATGTAAACAAAAAACAAAAGCTTTTATTTTGGATGCGATTGATTAATCATTTGAAAGCCCTAATTAGTGCACATCTGACAACTGCATGTGATTAGGCTATAATGTGGATTATCTTTTAGTTTTCTATATACTGTAGAGTAGCCTACTACTGATGGGTACTTAGCATTTGTTATGTTAATGGACAGGCCCCATTTTAATGTTTGCTTTCTTGTTTTCTTGTTCTCTTGTTCCATTTTACAGGCATTTGAGAGCCCTTGAGTGAACCCATAGCCCCCCCCACTGCATTACACTGCTCAAAAAAATAAAATAAACATATCAGATCTCAAAGTATGTGTATGTTGTCAGTCATTGTACATTTAGGTTGGAATTGAGTGATGCTTAGCATTGAAATGATATCAAAATATGTCAATAATTTTATGTAATTTTGACATCAATGTTTGATGTCACATTTATGTTGAATTGATATCAAAGCTTGATATTGTATGATATCAAAATAGCATTAAAATGACGTCAACATGATGACATCTTGACGTCAAATAAATGTTGAATTGGCATCAAATGCATACAAAGCATGATCAAAATAACATCAAAATGACATCGGCAGAGGTCAAAATCTTGACATCAAATTGACGTTGTCACTTTGACGTCAAATTGACTTTCATTTTTGACCTATTTTGTGACGTAATTTTGACATCAATGTTTGATGTCATTTTGATGTTAAATTGACATCAAATGCCCACCTACTCCGTCTTGTCTTTCGGTGTCAGTGTCCTCTGTGCTTCATGATGTTTTTTTTTTTCACAGCATGAGAAAATGGACGTGTGGCGCGAAAACTTGAAGACGAGTGTCACCCTGAGTGTCACTGACTGTCAGCAGCAGTCGGCAATACAGCCCTGTTCCAGCCAATCAGAATAGAGTATTCAGACAGACCATGGTATAATAAAAAATTATAATTTGAAATATAGATTTAAAAAACTATATATTTAAATACTGATACAAAAAGTCAATGTTACCCGTGCCCATACTCTACCCATCTATTTTGCATTTAAAAAAACTAATATGTTTATTTATATATATATATATATATATATATATATACAAAACAGTGTTTTTCTCATTAATAAACAACTGAAATTATTGTACAACTGCTGGAAAATGTTGACTTGTAAGTTACCATTGGAAAAAAACAAGACAATATTTGCTTAAAAAAACAATGCAAAAAGTATTTATGGGTGGAGTGGGTAATTTCTGTGCCATTTTGGAAGCGTACTTATAAATAAATATATTTGAGGTTTTTTTTTTTAACAATATTTTATACATATTACTATATTTTAGTAATACAAATGATTACCAAGCATTATTCTTTTCACATCCGGTTTAAATATTTCTTTATTTATTTTTGTTCTTTATTTACTTCAGTTGTTCCCTTATAGTTCCCTTCTCATAATATAAATTGTTAAAATTGTTTGGAGATTAATCAATGCTTAACTTCTGAATGTGTTTAACTGTTGCTATTAAATAAAGCACCAAAAGGATAATAACAAATATTTCAAATAATATTTAAAAAACACACACACATTAGCCCCACTTTCATATGGGCATTAGAAGTATTATTAAGCAGTGGGCAGTGAGAAATTAAAAGTACATCACATGTATCAACAAGCATCTGTTAAATAGTTTCAAATAACGATGGGATGAAGTTGCATAAACTCATCCTACCTCATAAAGGACGGCTGTTATCTGCACAGGAAACACTGTTTGCCAAAACATTATAAAATAGTGTTTTTCTCATGAATAAAAACCTGAAATTATTGTACAGTTGCTTTAAAGCACTTCACTCACGCCCTACGACCTACGCCACTGTAGAACTAATTATTGCAGTTGCTGATAAATGTTGACTTCTAGGTTTCCATTGGAAGTAGCAAGGCAATATTTGCGTAAAAAAAAAAAAAAAACAATGCAAAAAGTGGCTAATTTCTATGCCATTTTGGAAGCATAATTTTAATATTAATAGGCATACATATATATAAAAAGCATGACTTGATAAATTGCAACATTTTTGTAGAGACTGCTTATTAGATGCATGATGGATTTTCAGTATATGCCGCGTAACAAAATATAAATGTCACACAAGGACACGGTCTGTCTCTCTTCCTTTAGTGTCTGTCGTGTGTTTTCCACAGCTCAAGAGCAGTATAATGGTGAAGTCCAGAAAAACAGGATCCATGACATCACACAAACACCTGTTGGAGGACAGATGGCGGGACGTCTGCGGCCTGCAGGCTCTGGAGCAGCCGTCCCACTGTGGCATCTCTTCCGTCCCTCTGCGTCCACATCACCAGTCCTGCAAGCACCTGACTCTGAACCGCAAGGGGGTGGTCAGCACAGCACCGGTACAGATGAGCAGAGGACAGGCCTAGGTCCAGCAGCACAGACTTCCACTCTGAACCCAGACGAGCGGCCAGTTGGTTCAGATGCCGCATGGTTGGAACAGTCGAAAGGATGTGGTCAGGTACGCCACACTGAACTGAAAACAAAGAAACAACCTATGATTTTCAGTAAGTCAAACAGGAAGTGAATACAGTAAGTCACACATTGTGATCTATATTACACAAACAAATCTCTCTGCATTTATTGACATAACAGCAAAAACAAATACTGTAAGGAAAATAGGGCATTCGTTTCGCATTCAGAACAGGTTCTATTTTGTGCAAGTGACTGATTTTCGTGAGGTTCGGTTCAGTTCAGTTAATTATCCTTGACATCAATTATAGGATATATATATATATATATATATATATATATATATATATATATAATTATTATTATTATATAAACTTTTTTCTTAGTCAAGACCAACTTTTTGCATGTGTAATTTTGACCTCAGAAATCCTGGGGGCGGATGGGTGAGAAAACAGCATCTCTCATATGATGTGAACATATTTATTTGAATAACTCGCACTGAAACTGTATCATGACCCTGACTGAAAAAGCTCATACAGCTAAATAAAATATGAAAATGACGATAATCCAGCAGCCATTAGTCTCAAATGAAGCATCAGTAAGCCAAAGCCGTATTTACATTCAATAATAATAAAAAAAAGCCTTCGAAATATTGAAAACATAAACATCATTTGAATTATATTAGAAGAGAAGGACTAGGAAAACATGTTCAACCCATCAAAATCAATTTCAAGGTGGCGACATCAACATCCCATTTTTTCTTTCCGTCCATGCGCAATAGAATAGAGATGTGTTTTATTTGAGCAGTGGGGATGAATGGAGCAAAGGTCAGTTTGAGAGTTTGTTTTGAGCTTCACAAATTCTTCACAAAATCAAGGACGTCCATTGATTTCTGCCATCAGGAGACAGGAGTGGCCACACTGGGCCATGACAATAACAACTCTCTATATCTAGGGCAGGACATCCACATCTTTAGTATCTTCTGTTCCCAGTGGAATCTAACACTCCTGCGATGGACATTTCATCTATATTTTCATCTGCGATGGACATTTCATCATTTTCTTCTATAATTTGTGTTTGCTTTGTTTACTTCTCAGAATAATCTTAAATTGTTTGGCAAACATGTATGAAAACAGTCATTATTTTTGCAATTCCAATTTGTGACACTAAAAGGTGCAGAAATGGCACATTTTAAGTTGAGGAGAAAAGATACACTTATATCCAAGTGTAGTAATTCATGGGTTTGGACACTTAGTTTGCGGAAGTTCTTCACGGTTTTAAAGCTTCTAGACCCCAGAGACAAAGAAGATTAGTGTGTTGAAGTGCCCCGACAATCAGTGATAAACACCACAAAGAGGATTTCATGCGGTCAGTGCTGCTTTAGCAAACCAGCACAAAGGGGTGGGGTGGGGGGGAGCTAGGAAAGATCCATAAAACGTCTGTGGCAATACTTTATCTGATTAATGTCAGATGGGGGTATAGAAAAGAAAAGAAAAGAAAAAGCCAGAGACAAAGAGAGTAAAGAAGAAAGAGTAGAAAAGACATTGGGAGTGAATATAGAAATAGCCAGACAAAAGGTATCAGGGAAAGGAAAAATCAATCTGTAATCTGTCAAAACAGTGATCTCTCTCTCTCTCTCTCTTCTCTCTCTCTCTCTCTCTCTCTCTCTCTCTCTGTGTGTATTAATGTTTTTTTTTTAAAATATAAATGTTTTAAAATATTAGCATTCATTTTTATTTCAATATATTCTAAAATATAATAAAATAAATGTAATAAAAGTAATACAAAAATATAAAAATGAATACAAAATTAAAGGGTGAGTTCACCCAAAAATGAAAATTAAGTCATTAATTACTCACCCCCGTGCTGTACCAACCCCGTAAGACCTTCGTTCGTCTTTGGAACGCAAATGAAGATATTTTTGATTAAATTTGAGAGGTGAATCACTGCTACAGGCCACTGTAGGCCTGAGACGAGAGTTCAAGAGATTTCTACGACGCATGCGCGAGAATTGCGATCTCCTTCAACAACTACAGTTCAGTTTCGCGCATGCGTCGTGGAAATCTCTTGAACTCTCGTCTCAGGCCTACAAGGAAGAAAAGGAATAGTTGAATAAAGTCATTATTTTTGTTTGTTTTTTTCCCACACAAAAAGTATCCTCGTCCCTTGATAAACTTATAGTTGAGCCACTGTTGTCACATGGAATATTTAAACATTTTCTTCATTGACTTTCTGGGCCGTCAAGTTTCAATCCCTTAGGGTGCCTATGTAGCAGTGATCCACCTCTCAAATTTAATAAAAAATATTTTCATTTGTGTTCCGAAGACGAACAAAAGTCTTGCAGGGTTGTTACAGCATGGGGGTGAGTAATTAATGACTTAATTTTCATTTTTGGGTGAACTAACCCTTTAAGCACACATATGCAAAATTAGTAATGATTTTATGATTTACTTCATGTACACAAAACATGCTTTATTTTGACAAGGAAATCATAGAAATTAACAATAACATGCAGTTCAGTAAGTGAATCAGATTCTTCTTAGCAGTTTCATTAAACAATCTGACTTAAGATTTATTGGAACGTAAATCGTGGTCACATTTTGTTTATGTGTGCAGTTTTGCCACTGTATGCAATATGCTATTCACAGGCATCTTAATATTAAGTGGCTTTAAGTACTATGTACTTAATCGAAAAAATAAGTACAACATATTATTGTGCTCATGTTGTTTTGTAAAACACTTTAGCTGCTATTGAGGTATGATACGGGTAAGGTTAGGGACAGGTGTGGGTCGGTTTAAGGGTAGGTTAAGGTGTGAGGGAAGGGTCAACTGTGTAATTACAAATATAATTACATGAATTAATTATAGCTGTAATTACATGCTAGTATTTTCCAAATATAAGTACAATGTAAAAACATGTATGAACACAATAAGTCCATTGTATCAAATTATTAATTTCTATGTAAGTACATAATACTTAAAGCCACTTATAGTGGGACCCATATTTATTTTTTTCTGCTGGAAAAATGTATGATAATCTAGGTTATCAAGAAAAAAAGTAGCATAGAGTGTCCATGGGACTTACAACAGGGCAGTGGAAATGGATGTGGAAAAACTTACTTTTAGAACATCTTTATTTTCCTTTATGTTGAGCGTCAGATATTAAAAGTGCAAAACACAAATGAACAAACCGATAATAAGTCACTCATGTTATAGCATAGTAATGGAAAATGTATAGTACAAAAT